AAATCTCAGCTTTTCGAATTCATCCAATAGGAGTTCGGATTTAACCTGATGATCCAGAGTGGAACTTCCACTCTGAATTCAACGAAATTGAGGGAGAAAATAGAATGAAAATCAGGGTCTTCACTCAACCAAAAACCCTACACAAGAGATGATATTGGGGAGGAAGAAGAAGTGAAATGAAGTTGTTTTTTATCCTAAGGGCATTCCAGACTTTTCACGTCAAAAAAAAAAAAAAAACATGCACCCCCAGTCGCACAATCCACACGTGCAACACGCGATAAGCTAGTATTGGCCTTATTGGCTTTGACCAACTTTCGTCGGAGGGGGCCTATGCTTATTTTTTTAACACAGGGGCTTTCGTGAAAATTATAAACCTACACTTTCTCGACTCCGGACAGGCCGGAAACCCGCTGTTCTGCTAATAGACGACGGTATCTGTTCCATTTTGGCTGCAACTTGCAAGCATCTCTAGTTTCTACATATTTTGTAACATGTTAGAATGGCTCCTTAATTTTAGTTTCTAAAATGTGGGGACAAAAGGAGGAAATAGGTAACAAGGGAGGGGGGTGGGGGGGCAAGAGGGGGGTCAGGAAATTCACGTGAAAAGAGTCAGTGGAGATGTAAATGTTTGTTTGGTGTAGCTTTAAAACAAAACAAACGCATTTATAATGTTGTGGGATATCTTCAGACCCACATGAAGAGAGGGACACTTCCCAGGCTCTACATATATTACTTTTTTCTTACATTTGAACTAACCCTTTTTCAATATTTCAAACTATATATATACACACTATATGTACACATGTGTTATCAATCTATTTTTTGTTCTATCTAGTTTATGTTGGATATAATTAACACATCGGAATTCTAAAGTTACTGATAATATGGAACAAAATAATTTCTCTAAAAAAAGGTGAGAGTATAATCAACTGTAAGGAAAATTCAACGGTCCCGATTAAACAAATATTTTTCCCTAAATCCTGCTTCAGATAATAAAAATATTGACCAAAAAAAAAATAGTGGTTTGAAATTCAAAAACCATTAACCCCGACCTCATAAATGCAAATTGAAGGCTCCAGATTTGCTCCAGTGAGCTTTTTCATCGTTACATAGCTTTTGAGTAAATATACTCTCCTTT